GATTCCTTTGAGCTGTGGTGCTGGAGAAGAGTATTGAGAGTACCATGGACTGCTAGGAAAACAAACAGATTTGTCCTGGAAAGGGTTAAACCGGGTAGCTCCTTGGAGGCAAGGATTCTGAGGCTCCATCTAACATACTTTGGACATGTTGTAAGGAGAGACCAGTCCTGGGAGAAGGACATCATGCTTGGGAGAGTGGAGGGACAGCACAGGAGGGGAAGGCCCTCTATGAGGTGGACTGATTCCGTGACTGGGGTAATCGGGATGGGAGTGTCAGAGACAGTGTCATTGGCACAGGACAGAGCAGAGTGTAGGGCTGCTCTACATAGGGTTGCTATGAGTTGCAAGCGACTCACAGCACATAACAACAACAATCCATCTTAGGGTGTGGGTTTTCCTCTGGTCTGTCTCTCTTTATAGACCATGGAATCCTGCCCAGGAGACCTCTTAATAAAGCTTCTTGAGCTTCCTTTCTTTCTCTGGTCTCTTCCTTGAGTCCTTGGCCTTAAGTCCAGTTTAAAGACCTAACAATGTTAAATATATTGTTGTTATGGGCTGTCAAGTCGCTTGTAGACTTGCAGCTTTGAACTTTGCTCTATCTCGAGCCAATTTCATTGCCTGATACACCTATCTCCATTGCCCCAGTCGCTGAGCCAGTCTATCTCATTCAGGGTCTTCCTCTCTTCCACTGTTCTTCCATCCTTCCAAGCATGATGTCCTTCTCCAAGGACTGGTCCCTTCTGGCGACATGCCCAAAGTATGTCAAATGGAGTTTCAGAATCCTTGCCTCCAAGGAGCAGCCTGGTCTCACCCTCTCAAGGATGGACCTGTTTGTTCTCTTAGCAGTCCACGGTATATTTAATACTCTTCTCCAGCACCACAACCCAAAGACATTGATTCTTCTTCCATCATCCTTAGTCATTGTCCAGCTCTCTGATGCATAACAAGTAATTGCGAAGACCATGGCCTGGATCAGGCGCATCTTAGTCTTTAGATTGACATCATTGCTCTTCAGTACTCTGGAGAGGTCTCGGACAGTAGATTTTCCCAATGCATCTTTAATATACAGTAATAATGCTTTGGTGTGTGTTGCATTGTAGCACCCATTTATCATATGGGCCCATTAGTCAAAAGCTTTATGAGGTTTGTTTGTAACCATGGATTATATGTTCATCAGATGTTTATAACCTAGGTCTGCTTGTATCTGGGTTGTTCTAATAGCTTTATCAACAAACTGGTTCCTTGAAAGCTGTTACATCCCTGGGCCTCTGGCCTGAGGAGTGAAAGCACTGAGCTGGGAAGAGAGGTTTCTGTCTTCAGGGTTCAGGGTGTAGATGCTGCTGGAGGCCAGTTTCAATTTGATTCATTGACAGTCCCTGACAAGTGCCCTGGGCAAGGGGTGAATGCCGAAGCTATGGAGCATAACATCCTCTACCCTCAGCTCCTTGTTAGAAGGGTGATTCAGCCATAGTACCTCCCTCAGGAGTCTCTAAGTGGGGCAAACAGTTAATGCACTTGGTTGTTAACAGAAAAGTTAACAAGGCACCACAGAAGGCCTGGAAATCTACTTTCAAAAACCCAGTCACTAAAATCTATGGAGTATATTCTACTCAGACATCCTTGGGGTCACTGAAAGTCGGAGCTAACGTAAAAGCAACTGCTTGCCTGCCTACCTGCCTGCTTTCCTTCCTCCCTTCCTTCCTTTTCCTTTCCTTCCTTTTTTTTCCCTATATTTTATTAATTTCCATAAACATTTACAGAGATTTTGGGTTTCCATTCATTCATTGTTGCACCATTCTCTCTACCCTCCTCCCAGTTTGTTCTTGTCCAAATGCCACAGTGCTTGTCAAAGCCAGTTCTGATTAATCTTCTTTGTCAGTGTGTCCTTTGCCAT